ACAGACCGGGCTGGGGAAGGCAACGGTTTTCCCGCAGCCTGCTGGGCGCTCCCCTCCACGGCCGCCCTTCTACCCTCGGAGCATCTTACCGCCTTTAAGGCCAAGCTTGCTGCTGATTGACTCGTGTCTTAGCTACGCAGGGAAGGTTTTCCAGCAGGTATCCGCTGTGACTTTGAAGCGCTCATTGTAAACATATATCTTTGGGACGACAGGGGTGCGCTCAGGTCTCGGGAGCCGGGCTCAGAGCAAAACCATTCATAGGCTAGAGTGAGGGGCAGTCTGTAAGCAGGCGCTGTGTGCCAAGAGAAGCGCTGGTAGCCCACCTCGCCGCCTGCTGCGCCCAGCCTGCCCCTAAGTCCGTCCCGCGTCGTACCTGCCAGCTCTTGGACGCCCCAGGGCCCCCGAACATCACCAGGAACAGCTGGATCCTGGTGCAGCGTCCGTGGGGACTGGAGCCCTGGCGCGTCTCTCCAGGCGGGTGCCCAGCTGGGTGACCACAGAGGTACCCGTGTGAGGGAGGCAGGGGAGAGATGCCGGAGGCAGCAGCGGGACTGATTACTCTCTGGGCTGGAGTCATGAAACCCCTGAGTCTTCACTAGAGGTTAGGACAGGTGTTGACAAAGTTTGTGTAGGAAGCAGTAAGGAACTGCTTTATCAACGCACATAAAAATAAGCAACCAGAGCAAGAGCAGATACTTATGTGCTTCCCTAAAATACAATGCTGAAACCAGGCCGGGGGGGGGGGGGGGGGACACTTTCTGAGAAAAAGCTAACAGGGTACCTTTAACAAAGGCTTAACATGAGCAAAGTGCTTGGAAGGTGACGATTGGCATGGTGGAGCAGGAACTGGGTTTGTCAAGCTGGAAAACGAATGAATGAACATGCAGAGTCAGGCCAGGTAACCATCTGCAAAAAAATACAGATTGTAAGGGACGGGGCTAAGCAATGCTGACAAAATCCTCTGGGGTGTGAATTCGGCCTCTCAGAAAATGGCGCCTCTTGAATAACATTCATTTTAAACAGTCACATACGGCATCGTGCACCTGAAAGCCAGCCTGTGGGACAGAGCTGCTATTTCCGCTAGCAGCAGCTTGGAGGAGGACTGAAAGGGCCATCACGGCAAACGGAGCAATGATGGGCGCTCAGCGCAGGGCTGTGGCAGCAGCAGGTCCTGAGGCATTCAAGGGAAGGTAGGAGCCAGTAACGCACGCAGTTCAGAAAGCCTTGACTCAACAGGATTTTGAAAACTGAGGCGTCTGGCATTGCAGGTGGAGCACGTGCACCCCGGATGTCCTGCAGCTAGGGAAGGCGCCATCGCACCTCCTGGTAGCACGAGGTACCCACAGTGGTGGAGCAGGGTCTGGCAGGCCAAGGAGCAGCGGTGATGTGGCACTGTCCCTGGGGCCAGGAAGCCGAGGCGGGATGTGGGGACATCCCAGGAGAAAGGCTGTTTGTGCCATAGCCACTGGGTGTCAGCACAACCCTATTCAGCCTGCCCAGGACACCACCACAAAGACCTGCCTACAGGCCCAAGAGTCAGAATCCCCCCCCCCTCCCCTCCCGGATGACCCCCATATACTCCCCCAGCCCCAGACGTGGTCAGAGCACCTGCAGCATCAGTGGGGGTGGGCTTGTCTTGGCAATGTGCCACCCAGGGCATGGCCAAACGCACCCCTGCTGGGCCCAGGAGCCTGAGAACAGGACCATCTCCCAGCTCACCTCTGTGGTCACAGGAGTGAAAACCGGGCTTTGCTGTGATGTGATGAAAGATGCTGTCACAGCCAAAACAAGGGCAGTTTGAGAGGGTCATCCATGTTGAAAAGAACTGCTCTACTCCCGAGCACCTGCCATGACTGGCTGGATCTGAACTTTGTCCAGGCAGCAAAGCCTAAGGTGCCCCATGGCTCGTGCAGGTGTCCAGGGAAAAGTGCTGGCCAAAAGGGATCAGGCGCCCCATGTGGGCTTGACCAACACACAGAGGTGCACTGCGGTGCCTCGCCTGCCAGGGACAAAGCCCCCAGTGGTTATGAGGGCTCTCAACAGTGCTGAAGGTGCTGGAAAGGAAGTGGTGGGCAGGGTCCACTTGGATAGCAGTGATGCATGGAAAAGGAGAAGGACACAATTTAAGAAAGCAAAGGCACAATTTAAGCTGGTTGCTAGGAGGCTAAAGAGCAGGGCTCCTTGGCTGCTCTCCCCAACATGCTCAGAGCTCATATCTGGGGTAAAGCAAGTCTCAGATGGTCCTTAGCACACAGAAAGCTCTCAACTTAGGAGATGGTAGGAAAGCAGCTGGATTAGATGACGACTGTACCAGGCCCTGTTTAAGCCAAAACATAACCAGTTTCTGGCACTTATAATGAAAAAAAAAAATAGGCGAATTTTAACCCCAAAGACAGGGGAAAGCCGATGTGTAGAAGACCATGGCTCTGGGCAGCTCATCCTCTGGACGCAAAGTCAGTACAACACGAAGGGAGAAA